AACTTCTGGCGGACGAGGAAGCCGCGGAGGCGGGCCTGGAGCCTGACCACGAAGCCCGCGTGGGCCCTCCAGAGCTGCTGGCGGTCGTGGGCAGCAGTGACTCTGGTGACGGTGGACTGTGGAGACAGCAGAGGGAGCCTGTGGGCCTTTGGTGGGAAGGCAGGGCCTCTCCTTGGGGTGACCCCGCCCTGGAAGGTGCCCAACCAACCTGTATCTCCTCCCGCGTCAGATGGGAGGTGTTGAGGCGGCAGCCCGGGGGCTGCTCCCAGGTGCCCTGCAAAGTCTGCAGGTGGAGGTAGTAGGCGGAGCCATCCTTCATGCCGTGTCGGACCCACGAAGCTGTGTCCCCTGAGCGGAAACCACGGAGGCAGAGAGGATGGGAGGAGGTGAGGTGGCTGGGTCAGCAGAGGAGGGGAGGAGCGGAGCGGGGGCTGGGGCTGTCACCTGGATGCCGCTTCTTGGCTGCGGCACCTTCCAGGGCCCGCTGGTAGGCACTGGCACAGTCAGGAACCACCCCGCAGAGGGCCACGGCGGGGTTCCTCAGCACCCGCTCTGTCTGCGCTGCCTTGCCCTCCCTGATGGCCTGATTGATGGCAGCCACACCTAGGGCCACTGAGAGGAACAGGAGAGAGCGGTCAGTCCTTCCTCCCATCTCCCATGGGGCCTGGGCCTCAGGCTTCAGAGGAGGCACACGGAGGACACAGGGACCCCGCAGGTGGCAGTGGGCGGCTGTGCAGAGGAGAAGGTGGCAGTAAGGGGGGTCCCTGTGGGAGGCACAGTGGGCGAGGCCAGCAGGGTTCAGGGGCAGCCACAATGGCTCGCTCAGAAGCTTAGAGGCAGGAGATGGGCAGAGAACCCAGGACGCTTTCCTGGGAGAAGACCATGCGAGTGGAGGAGGCCGGTGGACACCTGCCTGCCAGCCCGAGAACCAGAGCCCGCCTGCCTGCCTGCCAGCCAGGGCCTATCTGCACGGTCCTGCTGGTTCCTCACTCCTCGAACCCGACCCTTCCCCCACCTGAGACTGAACACTAGCCAGAGCTCACCGTTGGAACCAAGCTCAAGCTGCCCGCAGACACATGGTGGATTTCTGGCCACCACGCGACTGCTCGTGCTCACATGGCAGGGACAGGGCCCACGGGAGGTGCAGGAGGATCGGCCTACTCCCGAGAATTTCCTGTCTGGCTGTCTGCTGGGAGGCCACTCTCCCTCCGTGGTCCTGGCTCCGCCCCACGAAGGTGGAAGGCTCAGCAGTAAAGGGGGCGCCTGTCTGGACTGAGCCCATGTCCCGCCCGGCCCACTTACTCCTCTGAGCTGTGTGTGTGTCCTGGTTAGCTCTGACCACTCCCTGGCGGATCTCCTCCCGCCACAGCACAGCCCCAGGATCCCCCGTCACCTGGCAAAGGGGAAGAAGTGGAGAAAGACAAGACCAGGCTCCCACGCCAAGCACCCCAGGGAACCCAGCTGCAGGCTGACGCCGAGAGCCACAGCAATGGCCCCGTGGCACAGAGACTCTTGTCTACCCTGATTCGGGCCGCTCCAAGCATCAGCTCAGCTTGAGGAGCTCTACGCAGCTTCTCACACCCTCAGCGTCTGCCACCTGCTCAGCAGCCCCACTCCTCACCCGGAGCCTCAGCCACGCTGCGCACAGCCCCCCGAGTCCTCACCGACCCTCCCCAGCTCCCCATTTCTCATTGGCTCCACTGACACCTTCTCAGGCCCATCCCGACCTGGTCTTTGCCTTCTCCGTCCTGTTCTTGCTCCATACTCTTCGACCCACAAGTGTGCCCATGCCTGCCACACTGAGCGTGGTGTGAGCCCAAGTCCACACCCGACTTCCTCCCAACTCTCAATGAACAACAGACTTTGTAAACTGACGCTGTGTCGAGCACTGACTGCCACACTGCTGTAAAGCTTGCTGTCCTTCCCTATTTTCATCATATCGTCGGGGATCAAACCCAGGGCTCTCTGCATGCTAGGCAAGTGCTCTAGCCCCGAGCTGCCCTCCTCGCCAGCCTCAAGCGCTTCACTGTGAATCAATGCTCCTCACACACAGACAGCAGCGCTTGGCAGTGAGGACTCCACCCATGTCAGCTGGCCCTCCTGTCACGTGACTAGGAGATAAGCTCATTATTGCCACATCTGTAGGTGAGGAGATGGAGGCCCTGGGAGGCGAGGAACACAATGCAGGACCCGACTGACACCACCTGGCTCAGGAGCCCCACTTTTGCTTCCCAGTCACTATCTGCCACCTGCTCAGGGCAGTTCAGCTCAGAAGCCGGCCCCAAGGGCGACCAGCTGTCTCTTCCCTCTGGGAGGGGCTCAGGAAGGGGCCGCAGCATCTCACAGGAGAGCGCACTGGGTAGAGCGGGAACCAGCCTAGGACGGTCCCAGCCTGTGTCCTTCCCGCACTGCCCAGCACCCTGGTGATGGGACCCGGCCCCTGCCTACCAGGTGCTCCTCCTGCTCTACTGCGCTCACCTGGGCCTTACGCCTCTTGGATGCCACGAGGAGGAGATGGTACCGCGGAGCAGTAGGAAGGCTGACGTCTTCCAGGCCAGCTGCAGGAAGCAGCAGGGCAGAGAGCGTCCTCTCTGGGCTGCCCTGGTCCAGGGCCTCATTGATGAGGCTGATGGCGAGGACCTCTGAGGGAGAGAGGTGGAGGTGGGCAGGTCCCGAGGTGGGCCAGGGCAGGGCTGCCCAGGGGCTGTCGCCCCACACTCACGGTCGGTTTCCTCCTGGACCCGGGTGTTGACCTGGCTCACGGCAGCTTGCAGGTCATTCCAGCTCAGGAAGGCGCTGTCCACGCTGCGTGCCCGCCGCAGCTCCACCAGGGCATCGAAGTAGCTGGAGCAGGGAGAGGGGCGTGAGGCGAGGGGCCCTGCAGCCTCTTTAGCCGCTCCTGGCGAGCCTCGGGCAGCTGCCCTCCTCACCACGGCCTCCCCACGCCTGCCGCCTGGCTCCTCCTGACCTCCAAGTGGAAACGCCCATTCGGGTGCACCCCTCTCCCGCCGGTGCTCACTGCTGCCTCACCTCGCCCCGCCTCACGGCTCTATACAGCACAGCTCCTCCTCACGAGCCCAGCAGCCTGCAGGGGGTCTCCATGTGGACACCCAGGCGGCACTGGAAACCCCAGAGCTCACATCTGAACCCCGATCCCTGCCACCACAGCCCCCTGCCCACCCGACCCCATTCCCTCTAGTCTCTCCCCCGCTGCTGTCCTGCTCTCAGAGCACATCCACAAGCTGACACCTCCTCCCTCTGCCTCTGCGCCTTCCCCGGCCGAGCCCCGGCCGTCTGGTGCTGCTCGAAGGCTCTGAGCACCACAGGCCTCCCTTTCCCCCAGGCACCTGGAAATCCCTTCCCAGCACAGCAGCCTGGCGGCCCTGGCGGCCTCCTTCCTCATTCAGAATGAAAGTCAGAGATCCACAGCCTGGCCTCGGCTCCTGTCTTCACCTCCCATCCTCTCCTCCTGTCTCACCCTACTCCACCCTCCTGGCTTCCTGATGCTTGGTCCTGTCCCTTCTTTTCCTGTTTCCCCCTCTCCCTACACTCCCCTCCTCCTACCCTCCCTCTTCCTTTCCCTCTCCCTCTTTCTTATTCTTTTGAGACAGGGTCTTACTATGAGGTTCAGGCTAGTCTCAGAGTCACTATGTGGCCTCAAACTCACTGTGATCTTCCTGCTTCAGCCTCCTGAATGCTGGGATGACAGGTAGGCGCCACTACACCCAGCAAGCTTTTTTTTTTTGTTTGTTTTATTTTTTGAGACAGGGTCTCACTATGTAGTTGAGGAACTCACTGTGTAGCCCACGCTGGTCTCAGACTTCCAGAGATCATCCTGTCTCAGCCTCCCTATTTTTAGATTTTTTTTTGTGGTGCTGAGGATTGAACCATAGCCTCGTACATGCTAGGCAAGTGCTCTATCTCTGAGCTACAGCCCTAGGCCCTCCTGGTGTCTCTCAGATGCACCCAGTACATTCTTGCGGCTCCAGCCTGAGAGACACTTGGGCACTTCAGATCCCTGTCTAAATGATCCCTAGGAGGCCACACACAGCCTCACAAAGTGGAGAGAAAAACTACCCCTCCTGGGTCCCCACCCCTTAGCCCTTTTGTCCTTTTGTTTGGCACCATCACTTTTCTGTTCCCTCCTCTAAGCCCTGTACTGGGGATTGAACCCAGGACATCCACACTGAGCTACCCCCAGTCCTTTTTTTT